GACTTCAAATCCGAAGTCAACGAACGCTTTGAAGCCCAAGAACAAAAAATCCTGGCTAACAAACGCAAAATTGAAGAAGAACGCTTAAAAAGAGAACAAGAAATTAAGGAAGTTCAAACTAAAATCAAACTGACTAACACTAACTTAGAAAACTTACGGCAAGAAAAAAATTATCTAGTTTTAGCCTTTCCTTAGACGGCTGGGTTAAATCAGGTATCTTAGAATCTTGACAAAAAGATATTCTACTAACTTGCGGACTAAAAACTATTCCTAAATATCACTACTTCGAATTATTATCTTTTACTGCCCAAATAACTAATAATTCTTTTACGGAAATCTTAAAAGAAAATTATTTAGAAGAAGATTATCAAAACCACCTAGTCAGCCAAAAAAACCAACCCATCACCTTTAACAAAACCATTTGAGAAAGGTTTGTGTCTTCTACCAGCACCCAAGAAAGAAAAATAATAACTGACTTAAACCTAGAAGAATTAATTAACCAACAAATCACTAAGCATTTAAAGACTTATCAGCCACCTATCCCAACCACTGAGAAATGAAGCAATATCAGTTGCGACTTCACCGCAGAACTAGTAAAAGACTGAGCCAGTAAAGGTTTTACCTATGAGGCCACTAAAGACTGAATAAATATTGGCTTAGCGGCTAAGGATGCTGATTTTGCCCAATATTTAAGAGACACAGCCCAATTAACTCCGATAGAAGTTTTAAACAATAGCAATATTGAGGAATTAAGAGAACAATTTACTAAGTCCCAGGAAAAGGATAAATCTAGTTCCTCCCGTTATGATAACTTATTTGCTAACTTAAATGCCGAAGAAAGAGCCAATCAGCAAAAAGAAAATGCCTTACAAGAGCAAAAAAGGCAAGATGAAATATACTAAGTTAAAAAAAGAGAATGAAGCCGAACAGGAACGATTAGCCCAAGCAGCCCGCGCTATTGAACTAAAAAAAGAGCAAGAGTTAGCCCAAATTGCCTTAGAGGACGAAGAAGAAAGACAAAGAATTTTAAAAAGAGCCAATGAGGAAAAGATTCGGATTCAAAAAGAAATAGACGAAAGGAAAAGAAAAGACGAGGCAGAGTTAAAGAAAAAAGAAAACCAACTCCTTAAAGAAAAAGAGGAACAACAAAGAGAAATTGACAAAATGGAAGAAGAAAGAAAACTAGCGGGAAAAGCAGAAGCAGAAAACAAAGCCCTCTACGAAAAAGAAAAAGCTTCTCGGCAAACCTTAGAAAACCAACGAGTTCAGACTCTCAAAATTACGGCCGAACGGATGGATGCCCAACGACGCAGTGAAACCTTACGGGACAATAATGCCCAAACCGCCCTCAATAGTATTCTTTGGTATCCCATGTTAGTGGAAGAATGAAATCGTTGCACCCAAGGCGGTAGTCATTTTGCTACCTGTCCGACTGTGGAAGAAGGATTTAACCGTTATTCTAGTCTGAGAGTTAACCCAGCACTTTTTCAATTTGACTCAGGAAAATGA